TTCTAAGCATCACGTTTGAAGGAAACCAGCTCTGCTCATCACCTGCAGAGTATGGCATCCCAAAAGGTAAGTGTGGCAGTAGCAGCCTCATGCTGAAGGGCTGTTTTTCAGCGGCAGGGACTGAGGGACTCGTCAGAGTAGAAGGAAAGCACAACACAGCAAAATATTGAGAGAACCTTAATGAAAACCCAGTCCAGAGCATTCAGAACCTCAGACTGGGCAGAAGGTTCACCTTCCAACAGGACAATGACCCTAACCACACAGCAAGAGTGGCTTATAGACAACTCTGTGAATGTCCTTGAGTGGCCCAGCCACAGATTGAGCTTGAACCAAATCAAACATTTCTGGAGAAACCTGAAAATGTCTGCCAGCCCCCATCCAAGCTGACAGAGCTTGAGAGGTGAAGAGGTGAGGAGAATAATTGCAAGTAATTGCCAAATGCAGATGTGCAAACCTTGTCGCATCATACCAAAAAGACTTGAGGCTGTAAAGGTGCTTCAACTAAGTACTGCGTTAAGGGTATGAATACTTATGCAATGTACTTATTTCAGTTTTTTAATTTGAATAAATTTGCAAAGTTGTCACAAATCTCAAATTTTTTTTTTTGCTTTGTCATTACGGTGTATGGAGTGTAGACTGATGTGGGAAAAAAAGTTATTTAAAGCAGTTTAACAGAAGGCTGCAACATAAAAAACGTGAAAAAAAAGAGAATACTTTTTATAGGCACTGTATTTTGCACTGCACATCCACTTCAATACCAAGTTCACAAAACAATCCATGTTGCAATGTGCCACTGAAACTGTTAAGGTCAGAGTGAAGTGATCAGGGACCTTGTGAAAAACAAACTTTAGTCACTCCGCTTGAAAGCATATCAAGACTTTATAGCACCAGGTGTTACACACAGCCAGAAACAGCACAAGATCTGACAAATTCAGGGTTCCCACTCTTTAATGAACACCAGATTCAATTACTTTTTCCAAGTACCTGCCATTTCCTCAAACACCAACTTTAATCATGTTCCAGTATACATGGTGTACCTGAAGGCCTTTATAATAACACATCGAGTATAATATTTAATATGTAAACATGTATTTTTGTAAGCTCAATATAGAAATGTTAATGCTTCCATATGCAATATTGATATGTCAGTAAAGAACACTGGCTTTTATGAGTTCATTTATCATGCATCCAAACTCTTCATTAGGTGACAATACATATGCATTAGTCTGTAATAGATTTTAACACACTATGCATCATACACTTGCTGAATTTTAAACAGTAACAGAGGAAAAGCTGGGCATCAAACACTAATCGACTCAGCATCACAAACTACCAGACAGAAGTTGTTCAGATTCAGGCAGAAACACATGCCTTGTGAAAAATATAAACAATGTGTTGACTCACAATATGAAACATGTTTGATTTCCTTAGAGTCAGACTGAACGGACCCAAAGTCTGAAGCTAATATAATAGAGTCTGTGACTGTGACCATCATACAAGATGTAGAAGTCGGCAAAAGTCATGTAGTGTATTCCAGCCCTAAGTTTAAGTACTAAAATAACTCAAACTAAATAAACTCAAACTAATAAATAAAAATAAAAGAATAAAGACTAAAAATTACAACAAAATGTCTCAAATTAAAAAGAAAACAGAAAATATAAAAATTAAATCTAATTCAAAATCTTAACAAAAACTATAATACAGGGTTCCCACTCTTTCATGAACACCAGATTCAAGGACTTTCAAGGACTTTTTAAAGCACTATTTATTTAATTTCAAGCACCTATCAAATTCACACCCCAGCATATGTAGCATCATGAAAGACCTCTTACAGTACTTAACATTTCACTTACACTTAACATAAAAAATTTCAGAGTAATGTGGTTTTGAATGTGTAGGTTTCATAAATTTAGACCACTTTGAGCAGACGTGTTCAAAGGAATTTAATTAAATCCATTGAAGTCAATGGAGTTCACAGTGGTAATATTCAAATACAATTTCTCAAATATTAATAAAAATATATATTCTTGCATCAAACTGGTTTTTGCTGTAATTCTTGTAAAAGATTTAAATTTGAGAGAATTTCTCAATTTTTAATTAATAAAAAGTGGTTAAACAGGGCTCTACGCGTACTTTTCTTTTAAAATGTAAAAAAAATTTAAGAGCACAGTCAAAAATTTCAGGAGCACCTTCTAATCAATAATCAAATTCTGATCAAATATTAGAATAATGAATAATAAAACTGCCAGTAGGTGGCGGCAAATCATTTAATTTATCACTGAATCATTCATTCAATTGATTCGTTCAACGACTAATTTCATTCAGGAATGAAGCAAGTGACTGACTTTATGAATGGGTAATTGATTCAGATTTGTTTAAAAACGCACAACGAAACACCACTGTGTTTGCTTGGAAATGCGCAACGGCTCAGCTGTGACTTTGTTTGAAACTATTTTCATTGATGAAATAGAGCAAAATCAGGCAATAGTGTTGTAGTCAGACAATGCAAGTCACTTAATATTAATTTCTTGTTTACTGAACTGTTGTATTAAATCAATATCACATTTGCAAACTCCCTTAATAATCATTAAAAGCTGTCACTCACTCATCTCATCACTGATCTCACAAAGTTTCATTATAATCAACGAAGCTCCCTACACTGCACAATGAATCTCTTATTTACACCCTGTCAACACTTTGTTTGCAATAATGAGAGGATTCGTGAGATTGCAGAACTCAGCACTGAACAAAACTCAGGTGTTTGAGCAGTGAGTGGATTCTGATTAACATTGTGTTCAAGGAATCAACAGATTTGTCTGTGATACATTACTCAAAGCAGCAAAAACACGTTGTAAATAAGTTAGAAACCTTTGAAGCTCCCCTGAGCGTACTGTAAGCAAACACAAATATGCTGATCGGGTCAGTCGCACTGGTGCTCCTAAATATTTTTTTCAAAGTTGCACGCAGTAATTTTCATTCGCAAATGCACTGCTTCTCCATAGGTTTTCTCGCGTTTCCCTATCTCAACCCCCAATCATTAGCGCAGTTTCGTTTAGTCTTTGACAGCGCATATAGGACAATTTTTGAAATAGCACCATTCTACTAAACAAAATTTATTTCAAATTTAATTCAAGCACTTTCAAGGACTTATATTTGTTTTCAAGTACTTTCCAGGCCTTGAATCCATGTGTCTGATATTCAATTACTTTCAAGTACTTTCAAGAAGCGTGGGAACCCTGATAATAGTATATCAATGATGCTAAAATAACACTGGTCTGTATTACAGACTCACTTCAGTACCCAGGCCACAAACTGCTGATTTATATGACAAGCACTCCAGAATTGTGGATGTCGTGCCAATGTGGTTGTCAAGAACATCAGATGTTCTTCAAAATTCATTAAGAATGTCTAAGTTTGAGGGTTTTCCAGCTGACAGAGCACTCAATTACTTTCAAGAACTTTCCAGTTCTTGAATCTGTGTCCAAAAATACTTTCAAAAGCAAAGAAACCCTGCAAATTTTCCCTCATTGTGCTCTTATAATTCTTCGGGACTTGCAAATAATGGCATCTACTATCTCTATCGTACTACACTGTGACTGTGCAGGTCAAATTTCTAACCACAGATTAGATGTAAATCAGATCACATGTTTCTGCATTTAGGTTTCTGATATAAGAAATCTACGAATGAGAGAAAAGGCTGATTTGTAGTTTAGTGTCAATACACAATCTTTTAAACTGAAGTTTTCTTAGGATTATGAACTCAATCAACAGTAATCCATATTTCTTAATAAATGTTTTCCACTAATATATCTAGTATATCTTCTACACCATCTTTATCTTCAGATCCTCTTTATCGTTGTACTTTTGAGGCTAACATAACTGCATCTCAAAGTGATGAAGGGAGAGGTAAGTAATTATCAATTCTCCTTGGCACAGATCACACCTAAGTGCAAGTAAATTAGTCAAGCTGACCCAGATAAGAAATGGGAGGGATTAGAGGGACAGAACGGCCTACAGGGGGGCCCATTTGGACCATGATGAATGACACGCACTCAGAGCAGGCTAATAATAGAAAAGGATGTTGGAAGAGCAGAGCCAGGCAGGGGTGGCACTAGTGAGCCAGGTGACCTGTTTGTGTAAATAAAGTGTGTTGCAGGTAAACATCCGCTGCTGAACAAATCCCAAAACATCTGGCTTCACCCACCAAGGCCACAGGCCCAGTGTGCCAGACAAATCATAAAAGAGGTTGTGGGGAATTCTGGTTTCTTGGGGCATGAACTGTGAAAGGCAAATTTGAGTGCGGATGCGTTTGAGAAAGCAAGGTCAGCAAACAAGGGACAGATGTTGGGTAAATATTTACTGTCGTGTATAGCTAGTCTAACTATTGTACTGTCGGGTCTGTAGACCCAGGAAAGGCTATTGTGTGTTACACCACTACATGTTACGTGTTTTATACATGACTTGTTGGAGTCGCCATGACTTTTAAAATATTTTTGAAAGAAAGGCAATGCTGAATTTATTTGATCAAAAATACAGCAAACAGTAATTTTAGGAAATATTATTACAATTTAAATAACTTATCTTTTATTATATATTTCAATGATGGCAAAGCTGAATTTTCAGCATCATTACTCCAGTCTTCAGTGTCACATGATGCTTCAGAAATCATTCCTATATGCTGATTTGGTGCTCAAGAAACATTTCTTATTATCAGTGCTGAAACCAGTTGTGCTGCTTATTATTTGAGTTGAAATGTGATATATACACTGTATATATATATTTTTTTTTTTTGATTTTTTGATAAATAGAAAGTTCAGTATATACATAAACACACAAACATATTTACATATCCCTATGTTTCAAAGTGGGGATTTGAACAATAAATCCTTATAATTTCTTGGCATGAATGCATAACTTTCAGCTATCACTTTATTACATAATATTGGCAATATATACATGTCACTGTCAGACATTTGGCAGCTGTGATTAGCTCTAGTATGTTTCAATGTCCTGAATGTATTAACTTTTTTATTTAATAAAATGTTTTTGTGTTGTGGCTTATCAATGCAAATTCTTTACACCATGATAAGGATTTATTTATTTATGAGAGGTAAAAGAGAAGAAATAGGTGTTCGGTTGATATTGGAAACACTCACCATTGTGTAGTGAAGTGGACAAATTTCTCACTGAACTGACCAATTGGAAGCACCGGAGGATCCTAAAAAAATAAACAAATAAACATACATTGTCAAAATCATTATTTACAAAAATATCCACAATATAGAATAAAAATATCAACACAATGTTTATACTTTACAGAAAAATCTATGGTTTATAATTCATAGATTTTGTGTGGCCTTGACTAGTTTGCAGAAGGGTTACAGTCCATAATGAGGTATTCTATGTGCGGACATTCAAAAGCAGCCGTGTATATTCAATTTTGGAAGCACCTGAACCCCTCTTTTGATTGACAGTGGAAGATTGCTGACGCACAGAACATTGGAGAAAAAAAAGCTTACACTCCCAGAGCTGAACATTTAGTTACGACCTCAACCTCCAAATAATGTTAACAGGGTAAAGAAATTAAATCAGATACTTCTAAAGCACAGACACACTGAACCCAAATGGAACAAGTGAAATAAAGCCAAATTCCAGATCTAATTCTAATTGTGTAAATAGGAACCTTGCTTTCATGTATGCATTCAGACACCTCTGAAATCAAACTGAGACATATTCAGTCTAATATAACTTTCATCACAATACTCGAGCCCCTGTTTTATCTAAGGCTAGAGAAGAAAGACAAAATGTGGCCTGTTTCAGAGAAAAGATTATTTGTATTCCAAAAATAACTATAATTTGAATTATTATGACCTCAGGGGAAAGAATTGATGACATCAATACAAAAGCCTTGATGTTAAAGACAGAATTGAGATTCAAGGTGTTTGAGAAGGACACCTTCTCAAACAGGATGCACTGGAAGGGAAAGTGAATAGGTTTTCTTTTAGGAAATGTCTGTTTGTGAGTGACAAAGAGAAGAGAAAACTGCTTTAACAGCCAGTAGGAATTAAATTAAACACACACACACACACACACACATGTAAATACAGCGAGATGCACACAGCCTCACACACATACACAAACAGATGCATGTACACTTGAGGACGCACAAACACCTTCATTTGGGGGTCTTTGATGTGGCGGCTACATGATGAGGATGATGATGAAAGCACTGTTATATTATGCAGCTTGCTGCCATTATCCAACACTACAAACAGAGCCAGACCATGGCCCGTCTTCCTCCACAATACCAGCAGTAAATATACATGTAATTGCCCAGCAGCAATTATCAGGCAAAATTAGATCAGTAATTACAGAGGTGAATTTAAGCCCGAGTCTTATTAGAAGCATCAGGGTTGTTTCAATACACGACCGGAGAGGGGCAATTAAAGACGAGCCGCCGTGCAGATGGACAAGTGTGCCATTCTGATAAAGAGTGTCTTCTATAAAGAAGTGCACTACAAATCAGAAAGACAGCAACAACTATTAGACACCAAGTAGAGCTGGACCTGACCGAGGGATTTAGAGAGAAATAAAAGAGGTGAAAGAGCCAAGGAGACTGATGCAAATTTGGGGATTGTTTGAGTGTTGAGTGTCATAAAAGATGACCTCTTGAACGTCCTTAAGGGCCATTCAAGCGTTTTTGCTTGTAAAAATGTGAGACACAGGCAGTGGAATGGGGAAAAAAAAGGGCAAAGCCTCAAAACAAGTTTTTAAAAAGCTGAACTTATTTGAACTCAAGTGTCTCATTTTTAGAACACTGTGTCAGGCACAAGATACTGCAAAAGACGCAAGATGTGAGTGCAACAGTCAAACATGTCCGTCTAGCATAGAAAAAGAATGGAAATAGTGCAGTAGAATGGAAAAATGCATTCTTTGTGAATGGAAACCTCATCTGAGGTTTGCTGAGGTACAGTCACTTAGATCAAATATTTTGGTTTTCTTGCCATTCTAATTTTTTTTTTTACAAGAAAAAACACTACGGATGTCCTGATGGCCCAGAGGTGAACGTGTAAAGCTGCTGTTGAGTGAGCACACAACGAATAAATCAAAATACAGCACAATGGAATTGGAAAGAATGTGGGGTTCTTAAGTTTTAAAAATTACTAATTAAAACTAGACCGCCAGACTGTCATTACCAGCATCCTCTCGAAGCCAAAGTGTTCAGATTATTAGATCAACTACCTGTGACCATCCTGAATTTCTCCCATATGTGACCCTGGACCACAAAACCAGTCTTAAGTCGCTGGGGTATATTTGTAGCAATAGCCAAAAATACATTGTATGGGTCAAAATTATAGATTTTTCTTTTATGCCAAAAATCATTAGGATATTAAGTAAAGATCATGTTCCATGAAGATATTTTGTACATTTCCTACCGTAAATATATCAAAACGTAATTTTTGATTAGTAATATGCATTGCTGAGATCTCCATTTGGACTACGTTAAAGGCGATTTTCCTCAGTATTTTGATTATTTTGCACCCTCAGATTCCAGATTTTCAAATAGTTGTATCTCGGCCAAATATTGTCCTATCCTAACAAACCATACATCAATGGAAAGCTGATTTATTCAGCTTTCTTAATTTAAAAAAATGACCCTTATGACTGGTTTTGTGGTCCAGGGTCACATATGATTCATGACACTTTTATTTCCTTCTAGTGACTTTTCAACATTACTGATGGTAAACTCGCATTTAATGGGTCTCCGATTGTACATTCACATCACAGAATATACTTTCCCATTTTTCTAATTGACTGGCCTTGATGTCCTCCTTGAGCAGATATCCTCTTTATTCTGCCTGTTTCTCATATTCTCTCAGGTATAGTTTCTAAATGTTCTCTTTTCTCCTGCTCTTTCAGTCCATCACATTCACTCTGCCTCTTTCTCGGGCTGTGCACTAGATTACTCTTTAAAGTAGGTCCTGGGGAGTACCCACAACTCCCGACTCAAGCTCTCTCTCACTGTCTCTCTCCAAAGGTTGTAAATCAGTGGCAGTGAGTAATAAGGCCTTGGTCAGCTGAATGCAGTCGGCAGCGGCAGCGCACTCTTTGGCCTGAGGGAGATGGAGCAAAGGGCACGGCAGAAAATAGTTTGAGTGATGCCTCTGCTGGATGAGTAATGAACAGTTCAAGCAGGTCAACTCATTACACGAGCGGCCGTTTAATTATTAATTACGTGCAGCAATCTATAGCAGAAAGGACACGTTCGGTATGTTTAATGTGTGTTTATGCTTCCCTCTCCTTCATCTCTCTGTGGCGTTCTGTTATTAGCATGTGTCAGTGAGTAGCTCAAGCAGAGAAGAGAAGGGAGAGGCTCCCCCACACACACACAATTAACACAATTACTTATTAATTACTCACATAGCAGTGGAAAGCGCATTTAAATGTTGGAGTTACCATGGCCTACAGGCTTTAACTAAATGCTGAGAAGACTGATGCAAATTTGGGGATTGTGTGAGTGTTGATGTGGTACAAGATGACCTCTTGTTACTCCTCAGATCTGCTAATTTAAGGAACAAATCTTCTGAGGTTTGCTAAGGTACAGCCATTCAGATCAAATAGTTTTAACAGATGTTGTCATCTTACTTTTTACCTAGAAATAAAAACTATATGGATATATGTATATGAATACAGTAGTCAACATTTGAAATGGATAAAAAAAAATCTCAGAAACAACAAAAAAGTCCTAAGACAAGAACGCATTTTGGTTTTAGGACAACTTTGATGAAAGGTTTTGATCCACTTCAAATGTTGGCTATTGTATATACAGTGGGGCAAAAAAGTATTTAGTCAGCCACCAATTGTGCAAGTTCTCCCACTTAAAAAGATGAGAGAGGCCTGTAATTTTCATCATAGGTATACCTCAACTATGAGAGACAAAATGAGAAAAAAAATCCAGAAAATCACATTGTAGGATTTTTAAAGAATTAATTGGTAAAGTCCTCGGTAAAATAAGTATTTGGTCACCTACAAACAAGCAAGATTTCTGGCCCTAATTACAGGCCTCTCTCATCTTTTTAAGTGGGAGAACTTGCACAATTGGTGGCTGACTAAATACTTTTTTTCCCCACTGTAGATGCATATGTATATATACATATATATGTATGGATATTTCAGTTTTTCTTTTTTAATAAATCTGCAAAAATGTCAACAATTCTGTGTTTTTCTGTCAATATGGGGTGCTGTGTGTACATTGAGGAAAAAAATTAACTTAAATGATTTTAGCAAATGGCTGCAATATAACAAAGAGTGAAAAATTTAAGGGGGTCTGAATACTTTCCGTACCCACTGTATATATAATACATATGGGAGTGTGTGTGCGTGTGTGTGTATTTTTTCATGTGATGTCAAACTGAATTTTCAGCAGCCATTATTCCAATCTTCATAGTCCAATCTACATAATCCTTCAGAAATGACTCTAATATGCTGATTTGCTGCTCAAGAATAATTTTGCATTACTTATAACTGTTCTTATAACCATTTTCAACATTGATAATAGTAAGAAACGTTTGGCCTGAGTAGCAAATAAAATGATTTCTGAAGAATCAATGACAGTGAAGAGAAAATTCACCTTTGGCATAACAGGAATAAATTACATTTTAAAATATATCAACATAGAAAACAGTATTTTACATTGCAATAATAATAATTCATACTATTACTGTTTTTACTGTATTTTTAAGCAAATAAATGCAGCCTTTGTGGGCATACATGTACACACACACACACCAAACAACTGCCTCAGGACCAGTAAATTCTGAAGAATCACTAAGCTGACTGGGTGAAACACAGCATACAACTCTACATACATACCAGAGTTAGAAAAGTGTGTATATCAAAGATGTGAGTTTAACACAAGAGCTGTATCTATTTCAAGGAATATCTGGGTTTAACTGACCCTGACCCAACTCCTCAGAGAGATAAGGGTGAGAAAATGTGTCAGGGTTTAGCTGGGTGTATTTTAGCACCTAACTGATGTCAAGGTTAATGCAACAACTCTGTGGTCCACAATCCTCAGTTGTCCAGAGCCCTGTCATGCTACATTAAACCACCACTCTGTGTGCGCGCGCATGTTTACACACATGCAAGAGACCAAATGAAAGAGAAAGAAAAATAGAAAATAAAAAACAATGTATGAACTTATTTAATAACGTTGAGCTGCTATCACAGTCTGACAAACATCAGATAAATTAGTTTGTACAAATAAGAAAATATATGAAATAGTCATTTATTTATTAAACTGTGCTTATTTTACTGTTAATCAAAAAATAATTACAATTTGCTGCCCGAGCTTCATCAATATGTTTTCAAGTTTAGCTGAATTTCCAAATCCAGAGTTAAGCCAATTGTTCCGTTCAATGCCTTGACATCAGCACGGCCGAGCTCTCGACAGCTCCAGCTCTTCAGAGCTCAAACCCTGAGCAGAGCTGATAATGCACCTCGCTTCATTAGGAAACAAAATATCAGCTTTCCACCCCATTAGGGACGGTTTCGTACATGGGACACAGACTCACCTCATCGACAATGCACTGCAATAACTGAAGAGGCTGTAATAGAGGGGGGTAGAAGAAAAAGAGATTAGACCCCATACAACAACCTTACAGTGCAAAGGAAATAAAATCATTAATGCAATAAAACAGGTAGCAATACAGCTTAATCAAATGCACTCTGACTCGGGAAAAGCCGTTTGATCTGTAATGTTTTCTTATTTCTAATGGCACCTAATCTGAATACAGGCTGTTAAGACCAAGCGCATTATTGTCTGGTATTAACTTCAGAGGGAGGCAACCATGCGAGGTGAGGAGAAAACTGCGAGGGGTTGCGAGAGGAGCCGCCTACATCTCAGAAAAAACATGAAAAACACTTACCATTAAGGAACCCTGGTTCTTTTGAATCTGCAAGGGGAAAAAAATGTAGGTGAGAGTGAGTGAGTGAGAGCAAAAATATGCAATTAGTACGTTACAATCACAAGCATTGTACTTGTACCAATACATGTTTATGATCACTGGGGGAAGATTATGAAAACACTGATGGCCAGATATGGGCATGATGTGTTAACATCGTTTACATAATGAAAACACATCAGCTAATAGTTAGGATAAGCTTTTCCAAGCATTTTTTCCCATTAATTTCATATTTCCTGCATTTTATTCACCTCCAGGTTTATGTGTTTGACTCTAGAAGTACATTCATGATATAAATCTAAAAAAGCATCACAGTCTGGGGATAAAAATAGTGGGTTATCTCTTTGACAATAATATAACTTGTTTCATAGGGGTTGTTTTATATTCATAATCATGTGATAACAATAAAATACTTACAGTCTCTACATAGCATTTCTGTTGGAAAGGGGCGTCCTAGTTAAAGGTTAAAAAAAATCTCTCGCATATTTTGTTGTTTGAACTGAAATGTTATTTTCAGGACAATGCTCCCCTAATTCAATCTGGCTTAAACCTCCTGCCTGGACCTCATAGTTTAAACTAACAGCTAACGATGTGAGGCCCTCTGATGACATATTATATTACATACTAGTCATTGTTTCTTTTTCTCAATTAAACTCTTTAAGTACCTGGAGACGCTGGACCCATAATGTAGGAACTAAATAGCACACAGCATTGGCTAAAACTGCAAAGCACGGCAATCACAGGACAATTAAATGCATAAATATTTGTTGTATGCGCTGTTTTCCAATTAAACCACTGGAGTTAGATAAAATACTTCAATGTGATCTCCACTGAAAAATCAAGACCACTTTAAACACATCACCTTGGTTCCTTTTTGAAAATGTTAAAGTCTTACAATTTGTCAAGTAAGGCCCTAAATGGAAATTAAACACAAAACAATGCTATTTTGTACACTGTAAAAAAAATTATATATATATATATATATATATATATATCGTTTTTTGTTTTTTTTCTTGTACAGTTTCGAAGACTTTTTTAAAAACTATGATTATTTGGTTTTTACAAGAAAATATTTTAGTATTTCTGCTTCAAAATCTCGCGTTTCTTTGTAATTAATTTGACAATTTCTGAATAAATTTTTTCGAAATCAGTTTTTTTCAGTTTCAGTTTCTCTGTTTGTAATGTTCCACTTGTCTGTGTTTGTGGTGTTTCAGACCATAGTATGTGAGCAGGGCAGAGTCAAAGAGTTGTGTGATTTTGCTGGGGAAAAAAGAGTAGGCAGTGTTTTCTTTCACTCCAGGATTGCTCAGAGTGGGGTTTCCCCAGTAAGCATATAAGAAAAATCGAAAACATTTAGAGTGGAGCTGCAGCGAAATGATTATACAACACTTTGGCCAAATTTTTTCCTGAACTGCAAGTAACTCAATATCAACTTCTTGTTTACATAACTGTTGTATAAAAGTAATATCACACTCAAAACTGTGCTGTTATACTAAATATTGCCAAGACTGTGATTACCTGCGGCCTCAACAGCAACAACACTCTTGCTAGAGTGATATTGCTTAAAAATAGCATTAAAGTTCTGGGAGAGCAAAATCATACATTATATTCAGATGAATATGAGGCTTAAAATGAGCTGAAACCAAAACAGCCAGAAAACAGAAAAGGCAACAACAAATCAATCAGGAGGAGAAGCGCTGGAGGCTGTATACACACACGCCAGCCAGTCTGCAGTCTTCAAAGATTTTCCGAGCGAGCCATCAGGAGACGCCATTAACTCCTGACAAAGAATGCAAATTAATCCCAACATGGGGTGAGACGAAATTAAAGAGCCTTTTATAATCAGTGACAAGATAACGCATTGAAAACACACACCCATACACTCACACACACAAAACAGCAGCAGATTTGCGGCTCTAAGTGTGAGTGGAGTGGGGGCAGGGCATCAGAAGTCAATGCAGAAATACAGCGGGCATCTCTTGAAATCTCAGAGCACAATGGACAATGACTCTTTGAGCATGTGTGTGTGTGTGTGTGTGTGTGTGTGTGAGAGAGAGAGAAAACAGACAGATGCCCGAGCTGATGTGAGTGACAGGCCAGGCCTGAGGTAGCGTGTGTGCTGGCTGGGTGGCGTGTGCACGCGTGTGTGTGTGATGCCTGCAGGTGAAGAGTCTGCAGCACCATATGGAGCTGTGAAAATTAACATCAAGAGCAAAAACGCTCTAGCAGTGGGAGGTTTAGCTCTCTCTCTCTTTCTTACTGACTAACCCCCTCCCTCTTTCTCCTTCATGCCTTTCTCTCGCTCTCTCTATTTCCATTCCATACGAATTCACAAATGCAGGAACAGGGAAAGGGAGAATAAGGAAGATTAAAGGAGGAAGTAATAAATTAATGGGGTGTGTATACATGAAATGCTTCAGTATAATGCCTCTGGCTCTACGGGCCAAGAACAAAGTTTTGCCATTCGTTGGTTTCAACTGATATCGCTTTATCTGATAATGATATACTGTATGATGATAGATTCTGAGAAGAATGGTGGACCTGAATGGATTTCACACATTCCATGTCATTGTTAATGAGGATTTTTGTTTTTCTTTTGAAGGATTAGTTTTTGGCCAACATAAAAAGGACCAATTTAGTTCTGCAGTCCTGTAAGGAAGAGAAATGCTGTAAAATATTTAACATCAACAGATTCAATCACGGTTCCAGACACTGTGTGTATGAGGGTTTGTTTGTGTGTACATGTGAATACATTAGTTTACGTAATAATACTCTGTGGATTAACATGATAATGGCCCTGTTAATAGATAATGCTGGAGAGCAGAGGAAAACAATTTCAAATGAGACAAGCCTCCAGGCCACGGGATAATGCACACACACAAATGCACGAATGCACTCGTACACAGAAAACACCCTGGCCTCTAGCCTTCTAACATTCTTTCTACCCATCAACTGTTGTGCAAGTTCATCATCTCACACAGTTTGTTCATCTTATATTTTGTCTATTGTATGTTAGAAATATTTATGCTAAAAATGGATCAGGATTTAGGATTAATCATAGTACTACTCATAATATCCTTTCAATTTCACATATTGCACATCAATTTTGTAACTTTCGCCATTGTGCGCGATAGCTTTGCATCAAGTGATAAAGTACAAACACACACCAGTGCCAAGCCCAGCCTCCGTGACAGTTCGATGCTCAAGGCTTTGGCTCTAGATGCAGCCTCAAAACGTTCCTTTCGGAGTTCCCCTGCATGCCCTGAGTGGCTGCTTTGTTTTAATATGCTAATTAACCCAACAGGCATGCTGGGAGTAATTTATTGAGCATTAGTCAACAATTCCCTCATTAAACTCACTGCACTCTTACATGCACAACTTTAAAAAGCCGAGAGTCTGATTAGAGAAAACTAGGGCACTGAATCAGATTTGAGCATACAGTATATTTCTAGAGTATATACACGGAGCTGAAAACTGTCACAACTAAATGATTAAAAGAACACTTCACAATATATATCATAATATATATTCACAATAAACATTTATAAATCTTGGTTAATGTTACATTCGACATACTGTACACCAGTGTTTCCCAACCTTTTTTTAGTCGCGGCACCCTTTGGAAATTTTAACAAACTTGTGGCACCCTACAAAATTAATTTTGTCACAATATTTGAATTTCTAACTTCAATATGATAATTTGAAAAGTATAGATATTCGGTACAACAGGGAAGAACTGCAGAATATAATGTCATACAGATATTTTTAATATTATTAAAAAATATTTGTCCATCAATGGTGGCAATCAAGTAGGCTAATTTCTAATGAAGAGACCAATTTATATGACATACTTTAATGTAGGCTTTTATACATATGTAAACATTATTTAATTATCATTATAACTACCTATCTCACAAATTTTTGCTCTCTCAGTGTTTTTTTATTTTACAGTGGGGTAACTTTGGTGCAGTAGCACGAGATAGCTTGAATTTTGAATTGAATAAAAAATGACAAGTAAGCAGTCAGTAATAAAATAAGAACAAATAAAGACATTAATAATGATAGCACAAATAAAAAATAACGACAGGCCTTCGAATTAAATAAATTGCTTTTTAGTTTTTCAGGTAGGTCTAACAGTAGGGTTAAGATATTTTACCTTTTTTTTATTTATTTTTTTACCAATTATCCAAATGTTTAGTCCTAGAAAGCTATTATTATCAGAACACGTGAGCATAACATAGCTGTTAGCAGATCAATGAATGAGAGGGCAGCGTTACCAGAGTTGCCCATATACCACACCATGTTACAACACAGTAGGGCTATTGCAGACAGAAACAATACTGTACTACATCGATGTTTCCTGTCGGCTCGATTTTTGAGTGGACTTTGTATGGAGTCAATATAATGCCACTTATATATACAAAATAATAAAGTTTTGCAAACGAAAATAACGTTTTGCAAACGAAAATGAAAGTATTGAGAAAAAATAAATGTGTTTTTTGCAAACAAAAATAAAGAGAAGTTGTGAAAACAAAAATAAAGAATTGCAAAATATAAATGAAACAGCACAAAAGCAATGATTTTGCAATACATATTTTCCATGGCCATATCTACTAATTTATTTGCAAGGAAACGCAGCCCTGAACGTTAAGTAAAGAGATCGAAATGAAGGTAAAAAAAATCAAATACATAACGAATATAAAAATATTACCAATAATAATAATAATAACAATAAAATACATGGACTTACAAGACTTGTGGGATGAATAAAAAAAAATTATTGTAGGCCTATTTTATTTTATGTACTTTATTTAACATTTATTCATAGTAAACTTTATTCGAATGTTGTCTACATCGCATGCAACACAGTCCCGTAGCCTAGGACTATGGTTAACACTTAAACCACCAGAGGTCGCTGTATACCTAAAAGTGCCAGCGGGTTAAATTTACCCATGCACATGACAAACAATACACATTTTAATGCTATAAAAGTGTGCACATTGAGAGAAGTAAACAGCAGATGTTCATGTTAACAACTTCTTTAACTTGAGCAAACACTGCTAATACACATATATATTTGTTAATAAAGTTAATCAAACGAAAACATGCATGTTTTAATGCTAGAGAATAACGATGGTGCCTGGATCTCGGGCCGATGACATCACTTCCAGGGAGGCATGCCGAGGCCTGTTGTACACGCCCCCGTCCCTTGACTCCACCCCCATGTCAAAACAGTGCCAAAAAGCGAGACGCGCAGAAACGTGAAGCGCAAAGGGAAAATGGTATTGCAAGCTCAAACTTGACTGAAACGCAAAATAAAAGCAGCGTTTCATTTATATTTTGCAAAACTTTATTTTCTTTTGCAAAACTTTATTTTCTTTTGCAAAACTTTATTATTTTGCATATATAAGTGGCATTATATTGACTCCATAACTTTGCTGTTCCGATTCGCAATGAACGGTATACAAGTGGAGCACTCATATGGGCTGTGAGCGACTGAGCGGAGCGCACACGCATAGAGCGGGATAATACGCAGAGCGTCACACCACGTGAAAGTGAGACCTGAGCGGTTAACTAATTTTAGGCAGCCAAAATTTCAGTGCATCTCTAATTACTGGCGACATCAGAAAAGGATATTATATAATAGATGCTTTTTTTTAAACATTTTAGCAATTTAAAAATATTAAAAAAATATTTTTTACACTGCACCCCTGCTCTCGACAGACTGCACCCGAGGGTGCCGCGGCACCCCGGTTGGGAAACACTGCTGTACACTACCGTCCAAAAGTTTTGGGTCTGTAAGATTATTGGTAAAACACTTTATTTTAAGGGCCCATTTCCATTACTAACTAGTTGCTTTTTGGCTGTTTATTAGTACTTATAAAGCACATATTAATGCCTTATTCTGCATGACCATATTTTAGATCTTACCCCATACCTAAACTTAACAACTAACGTACTAACTATTAATAAGCAGCAGATTAGCCATTTACTGAGGGAAAACTCTTAGTTAATAGTGAATATGTGAAACCTTTCTTATTATAAATGTTAAAAACAGTTGTGCTTATTTTTTGTGGCAAGTATGATACATTTTTTCCCCCAAGATTATTTGATGAATAGAAAGTTTAAAAGAACAGCATTTATTTGAAATAGAAATAAAATGTTTGTAACATTATAAATGTCTTTGTCACTTTCAGTCAATTTACATTAACATTAACCAAGACTAAGAAATTCTGTGAAAGTATTACTCATGATACCTCATGCATTACTGTAATAATGTCAATAAGCGAAAAGTGAAAGTGACGTAACGTGTAGCCAAGTATGGTGTCCCATACTCTGAATTTGTGCTCTGCATTTATCCCATCCAAGTGCACACACACACACACACACCTGCATAAACACATGAGCTTTTACCTATACAGCTATGACAGACGATGTCTCAAACAGGATTTAGGAGAAACAAAGCTGCTTAACACGAACATATTAAAATTAATTCCTTAATACATTACAATACATTACACTCATGATTTTGGCCACTTCATTGCATATTAATTGCAATTAAATGAGAATTTATATACAGTTTATAATAAATGAATATTAAATGCACTTTGATGAACTTTCTTTTAGACTGTTTTTTACTCACTTAAGTGGGAATGAAGTAGTTCTTTTCAGTTATTTCATAATTTTATAAAGTGCTTAAAATGTGGTTAAAGTGTACTGCTGAATGTACTAACAATCATTTATGGTAGACTACAAAAAAACTTCAAAGCCATTTCTATTGAAACTTGTATGTAATACTGACACACTACATTTAAAATAATAGTGAAGTACTTTACATGAAGATTACTAAAACTCTCCCGCAAGTGCCCTTTTATTTCACTAATATTATGAGGAATAAAAGGGCACTTGAGACATATATTTTAATTTTTTATTTTTTTTAAGTACAGTACGCTACAAGTGCACATTCAATACAATTAAGTACACATCTTTTTTACAAGTGTTTAAGGAGCACTTATATTCGTAATACATCCTACATCCCAGCATCACAGCAGGTGTATGTACTTCAGCAGGTGTTAATCTGTGAAGTCTACAATGCATGCTGGAATAAAGAACAGATGTGGAAAAAGCAGCAAACACAGAAGCAAAAGTAGAGCCCGACCGATATATCGTTTTGCCGATATTATCGGCCGATATGAGCCTGTTGCCGATATATCGGTATATCGATATGACATTTTTTTTTACAGAACATATAATGCAGATAAAATGCTTGAAATTATGTAATTACTTAGTTTGTCCAGCAAAAAGTAGAGCCCGACCGATATATCGTTTTGCCGATATTATCGGCAAATGAATCCGGCCGATATGAGCCTGTTGCCGATATATCGGTATATCGATATGAATTTTTTTTTTACAGAACATATAATGCAGATAAAATGCTTGAAATTATGTAATTACTTAGTTTGTCCAGCAGAGCGCGCTCCATTGTTTGCTACAGGCGACCTACCTGGATGAAACGCTTTAAAGCTTAAGTCCAGGTCAATATCTCCGTAACGGCGCAGCGAATCCGCACCAAATTCGGGGGATCCCTTCACCTCGAGGAACCCTCTAGATCGCGAATAGCGTGTACGTCTCAAGGCCCTCTTTCGAATGAGACCACCCCCGCGTAGATAGCCCCCGGGGTTCGGGAGTTAGGGGTGGTTAAATTCGCGGTCCGGCGCCAACCGATCAAGCGATCCCGGGGGGCTACCGATGCGCAGAGGGTGGCGTTCGAGAGGGCTCCTCGAGCTGAAGGGATCCCCTGAATTTGGTGGAGATCCGCCGGCGCGTTCGCGACATAGTGACACCAGTCAACACTTTCCCTTCAGTGAGGAGGTTTGTTCAGGCAGCATTCACGCGTTGTCTTATTCGACCGTAAGTGCCCTGCGAAGTGGACTTCACATGAAATTCTGCCATGATTCCAGTTCCAAGGGAACGTACATGTTAC